TGGTTTTATTTGTTTGTTCTTTTGCCATATTTTACTTTGGAATCAATCAAAAGTTTCTCATATTCCTTATGAAAATTATGTCTCAAAGAACTTACTATATGATGAATTCAAATATTTCAGTTTTACATTATTGTAATGTTTTTGTAAAACATTTAACTTTCTAAGATTTTGAAAATCATAATTTATTTTCACTACTCGTTTTGCCAGATTATTTGGATAAATGTAATTTGGAGTTATGCAGTCTATTTTTGCTTTAAAATGATTTTTACTCTGAAAATTAACCACCACTATAGAAAACTCTTCCACTAACATGTTTGCTAGCCTGTGAATGTCTGCTTTTACAAAAAAAAAAAAAAAAAAAAGGAAATGAAAAGAAATATTTATGTAAAGCCTTTATATTTTTCTCTGCTCAAAGTTGATAAGTGAAAACCTAGAGCAGAGAATATAGTTGGACAATTTTGAACACCTTTAAGACATTTAAACTGGTAGTACCTTTAATGCAAGTCCATTTGAGAGCTGGCAGCCATCTACTGCAAATATGTTGTGTAGTCTGCTCAATATCCTAAACATAGACCTTGTTCAAGTAAGTGGGTTAGATCTGGGAGAATAAAAATGAAAAACCTGCTCTTGCAGTGATCAGCTTTGCCACTTGATTATTCTTTTATTTAAACAAATCTCTTAGGCAAAAAATAGCTTATACCCATTATAACATAGCAAGCCAAGTTAATGTTATTGATTCTGCATTTATTTTTTCATTCTTTTTTGTTGCCATGAAATTTTTGTATGGTGGTGGGGAAGGGAGTATTTTAGGCCAGAGAACAAAGTTACCTAAGCTCTGAGAAATTTTGTGACAATGATAGAAAATATGGCATGGTCACTGTGGGAAAGCAAAATAGAACCAGTAGAATTTTTATAGTTCTAATGATTTCTAAACTTATTTGTAACTTTGTCAGGTCCAATGAGTACATCAATATGCTTCTAAGGTGTCTTTTTCTAGAAAACAAACTTCTGCAGCAAAGAACTCAAAAAATTTATCTAGTACCAAGAATGATCCAGTTTCTTCAGTACATCATATCAGACTAGCTTCTTCTCTTTCCATGGCTAATATTATCTTTCCAAAAAAGCCCAATGACCACTTGATAAACTAAGTCCACACTTTGAACTTAGCTGAAATTATTTAGTCTTCAAGCAGGAATTTACCTGAGTATTTCTCAACACTTGGACAAAAATACACAAAAAATAATACAGGGCAGACAAAAGCAGGTTTATAGTAGTGAATAAGCTAAGCCCAGAGTTTATTCTTGCATGAGTATTTATTAATTATTGTATTATTTATTTGAATTAAGATAATAAACCTACTTTGTGCCACTCCTGAATGTATTTTATTAGATAGTTCATCAACTTATTTGAACTGGACATCTTAAATACACATAACTGTGTTCACTGATGCATAAAGCAAAGAAATGATTAACAAACTCCTAGAGACTGACAGAAGACAGCAAAAAAGAGGATTCTTTATGATTTCTTCAGCACATGTTATAATAATATATATTATAGATATAAGTATTTCACTAAAATACCTTATAGAAAATGAAAGCAATATTTCTTTTCACCTGTTCAATAAAATTTATAAATTATATTTAAGCAAAATCCTTTCCATTTACATAGGGCTTTAACTGCAGATTTTATGGTACATTTAAGACCAGCATCTTCTTTCACCTTTATGAAAATGGAGAGTTCAAATGTATCATCATTTAATTGTTTTTTGTTCCTGCACAGTAAATACATTTTGCATGCCTGATTTAAGCAATAAAAAACCTTAAAATGCTGCCTTGACAAATCCGAAGTTTTGGCCCCTAACTAACAAGATATGCTTATTTAACAGGGCTCATGAATCTAGAAAAACAACACTCCTGTCTCTACCCAGAGCACTGAATTTCTGATAACTCTTTCATCACCATGCCTTCTTCAAGGATATTATTGCTGAATGTCCCCATGTCCTAACGGGCATTACCTAATGTGTAAGCAGAGTCATGCTTGGTGACGCAGTTAGGTTCCCTGTGCTCCCACCAGTGAGGGAACACCCTTACAGATTACTGGGTCATCCACCCTTGCTGATGAGGCTTGGCATGCAAATTCCTTAAACGGACTTGGGAGGATCAAAGTCATTTAAATGTCAGTGTCAGTTAATCTTGCCCTCCACTGGTCTATGAGAATGCAGATCAGTCCTTTACACCTGTCTAAAGAAAAGCCACATCATCCCAAATTAGTGGCTGCCTGTTGCTCATAAAATTACTTGCCCATAAATTATTTGAGGGCAGTTCTGTCTGATTCACTTTTGTACATTTCATAACGCATTGTAACAATGAAAGATGGCTCAATAGGTGTGTAATCACACAATGTAGAGTCATCAGAAGGGAATTTTTGGATAGTTTATATTTCCCTTCCCTATAGACGCCATAAAATTGTCAAGGTATTAAACATGGAAATAATCATGTTGAGTTTCCCTAACACTTATTTTTATGATGTAGCATTACACTTACTTTACATTTCTTCTAAGCCTTACCATAATATTTTTAGTGCTTAAGCCCTTTCAATGTCTGCACCCAGCCTTGGAGTCACATAATACATATTCAATACATATTTGTCAAATAAATGTATAAACCAGTGAACAAATAAGAGAAATCAACCTATCAAGAAGTCAACTTGTGACTGATAGCTTTTGTGCAGTGCTACAAAGGAAACACAAAGGAGGAGGTTTCTTTAAAAGAAGCATATTATTATATATTAGCTTTGTCTCAAGTTCAATCTTGTGATGTCTATAACAGTTAAATACCTTAGAATTAGTTGAGTAACAAAAACTGCCAAGTAACTGGAAGACCACCTCATAATTATTAAATGCAGAGGGTTTTCATCATAAAAGTTATAAATTACAACTTTCAAGACCATTTTTGTTATATGCAAAGAAATGTAAAATTGAGTATTAAAGGAAAAGAAATAAAAATGAGTATAATTAGAGAACCATTGAAATTGGCATGCAGCATTGTATCCTGTGGTATTTGGGTTATGCTTTTGTTTTTGTTGTTGTTGCTGTTGTTTTAATACATGGATTAGCTTCTAAAATAGAGATGAAGGGAGGAGATATTGAAGATTCACTGCATTCATTTTTGAATAAAATGGGCTTTAGCCTCATAAAGAGAAATGGACTGGTAACTTCCCCCAATACCCATATCCAGTGGGCAAGAAGCTGAGGGTTACTCAATAAGCTTGACTACCCCATATTCATCACTAAGTAAATCTTTTTACAGCCTTCACAGAACGTATTCCCAATTTATTTTGGAATCCAAACCACTCCCCTTATTTAGAGAAAACAACCTTACGCTCACCCTACGGACAAGTTCTGAATCATCCATGTGGTGCCCTTCAATTTCCCTGTCCTAATCGATTGATTTTAATCTCCATTATCTCACTCTTCCTTACCCTCTGTCTTCAAAGCCCTTTCTCTCTGCCTCTTCCCTCCTGCTCATCACATACCTCCAGCAAGGACTTTCTCAACCTCTCTTGTTTCAAATCAAAGTCTCCTTTTCTCCTCTTTCTCTGACTTCAAAATCCACATCCTCTTTTCCCTAAATATCTCCTTGTATACTTAATCTTATTCTCCTATCATTTCTATTACCTTATTTCCCCAAATTTCTCAGAAAAGTGGCATCTTTATATCCTCTTCCCCTCCGTCTTCTCCTGCACTTGTGAGTCAGGAAGGGCCTGTTCCATCCAACTGAAAACATTTTCCTGAAGGTCACAAAAAAACTCAGAGTTTCTCTGAATTCACCCTACTCAACTTTTACATCATCAGACATTTGTTCACAGTTTTTCTTTTAATTCTCCTTCTTTGGATACCCATGACATTACATTATATTTTCCTCTCATTTCTTTGGCCACTTCTTTTCCATCTCTTTTGTAGTTTCTTGTTTATTGTCATGGTTCCCAATTATATAAACTCAGGAATTCCCCTGGTTTCATCCTCAGCCATGGGCTATTTCTTTCCTGTGTTCTCTACTTTAGGGATTTCAAATTCTCCCATGATTCCAACCATTCTCCTGAGCCTATGTGTCCCTCAAGTCTATGTGCCAGGACTAAACTGTTGTTCATGGTCCTGACACATATTTCAAATCGCTAAACATCTTCACCAGGTATTTCTCTGGCATCCCAAACTGAGCGAGCTCTAACCTGCTTAACTGTGCTTCTGCCTTGCTCCTGATCTCCTAGTTTAAAACTGCAGTGATCTCAGAGTCTCCCTCTCTTCACAGCCACTCACCACTTGTTCTCAAACCCTGTCAATTTCAACCTGGCTCTATCTCTCCCTGGATCTTACTCAGTCTACCTGCTCCTCCTAATCTCTGCACTAACTTGATGCAGAAATTCAGCTGCTCATTGCCTGTAATCACTGTCTCTTCCCATCACTTCCATCAATTACTCTCAGAGATTTCTTTAAAATCCACAATTTTATCATGCCTTTCTCATGATCAAGAAACTTCAATATTTTCCTTCTGCACACAGAGATTTGGTGTTAAAATTCAAAAAGCAACTGTATGAAATCTAGTCAATGTCTAACATTTTATAAATGAGAAAACTAAAGATCAGAGTATGTAGGTAGTTTTTCTGAGTCTACCTAATGCTCTTTGATTCTCATCCTTTTGCCCTAAAAGTCAAAACAAGGAATTTGTTTCAAATTCCATTTTAGACTCTGAGCAAAAGGCAATATAGATATGTCAACACAACATATTTTTAAGAAGACCTGGCTGTTTTTAATTGGTAATCTAATTAAGAGCTTGACTATACAGTGAAACCTACTTGGTCTTCTGCCTAAATTGCCTCTCATGAGAAAAAGAATGACACAGTTTCATAAAGTGAGAAGGTTAGTGGCTTCTGGCATGGTTCTCCAAAACAAACAGCGGTGCTGACACTTCCGTGTGGTAAAGGAAATGCAAAAGAGAGAAGAGATGAATACACAGTCCCGTAGGTATGAAGAACAGGCTCCCAAACAGACAAACGAGGTATCCGTACACGCTTATCCAACATCTACAAGGAAAGGAATAATTGTTCATGAGTTCAAGGTAGCAAGAAGCACACAGCTGCATTAACATCATTTCAATTCTGCACCCAAGCAAGACAGTAATATTTTGGTTACTTGTCCAAAGCATTGGGCTGTTTGCTTTTCTTCCTCCCCCACCTATTATGACTATTACTGTTATTATTGTTGTATATAAGCATTCCTTATCACAAGGATAATATGAGAATAGATTAAAATTCAAAATTTTTTTGAATTTCTAAAATTGTGATGTCAGTTCTCTGTAATATATTTTAGTTAGTAATTTACATAAAATAGGCTATCTTGTACTTAATTATAAAACCCACACCTCAAGCACATATTTAGGCTGAATTGTACTGGGTTGTATTAAGTCATTAATATCGAAACCTCAATTTCTCATCTGTAAAATGAGATAATTATAGTATTGACCATATATTCTTGTTGAGATTAAGTGCATGGATTTCTCTAAACATGTTGTCTAGTACTTAGTTATCATTTAATAAATTGTAATGATTATAATGATTAACATTAAATATATACCATGAGTATATAACTCCTCTAATAAAAATATTGTCTTTTTAAACTATTCATATTAATCATAAGTACAAATTTTCTTGAATTATCAATTACAGTGATTTAAAAAATGTACTTAAACATTAAATTTTATTTTAACTTAATGGTAAAATTAAAGCTCACTATAAAAAGTTATTTACTATATTTTGAATATACTATTATTTGTATTTTTAAAGTGCAAACCTTAATTTTATTTTTCAAGTAATATAGATAGTGCTTATTTATAACAACAGCTTTCATACTTGGCAATTCTAAAAATAATTCAAGTTGAAGTTAAAAATGTCTTATTGAGGCAGAAATAAGAACTAAAGATTCACATTTTATTTATTAAATCTGAGTGCAATTTTTTATTGTTTTTCAGCTACAGTTGTCTCCATTTTCCCCCCAACTCTCTCCTGCCCCACCCACCCCCACATCCCACACTCAATCCTAACAGCCCCCCTCCCATTGATGTCATCCAAGGATTCTTTATACATGTTCCTTGATGACACTTCCCCTTGTTTGCTCCATTACCGCCCCCCCCCCACCCCTCAGGTTACTGTCAGTTTGGTTACTGTCAGTTTGTTCTTTATTTCAATGTCTCTGGCTTTATTTTGCTTGCTTGTTTGTTGATTAGGTTCCACTTATAGGTGAGATCATATGGAATTTGTCTTTCACTGCCTGCCTTATTTCACTTAGCACAATGTTCTCCAGTTTCATCCACGCTGACGCGAAGGGTAGGAGCTCCTTCTTTCTTTCTGCTCCATAGTATTCAATTGTGTAAATGTACCAGTTTTTTGACCCACTCAATTACTGATGGGCACTTAGGCTGTTTCCAGCACTTGTCCATTGTAAATTGTGCTGCTATGAACATTGGGTTGCATAGGTTCTTTTGAATTGATGTTTCAGAATTCTGAAGGTATAATCCCAGCAGTGGAATTTAAAGCCATAAAAATCATAGAAGAAAACATAAGCAGCAAAATGTTGGACATTGTCCTTAGAAATTTTTATCAGATATATCTCCCCAGGCAAGGGAAACAAAATAAAAAAAATAAGCAAATGGGACTTCATCAAACTAAAAAGTTTTTGCAGAGCAAAAGAAATCAACAAAATAAAAAGGCAACCCACAGAATGGGAGAACATATTCGCCAATACATCTAATAAGGGGTTAATCTCCAAATTTATAAAGTACTACAAAACTCAACACCAAAAAACCAAACAACCCAATTAAAAAATGGACAAAGGACCTGAATAGACACTTCTCTAAAGAGGACATATAAATGGCCAATAGACATATGAAAATATGCTCAACATCACTAATCATCAGAGAAATGGAAATAAAAACCACAATGAAATACATCTCACACCTGTCAGAATGGCCATCATCAATAAATCAACAAACAACAAGTGCTGGTGAGGATGTGGAGAAAGGGGAACCCTTTTGCACTGTTGGTGGGAATGCACAGTGCAGCCACTGTGGAAAGCAGTATGGAGAAACCTCAAAAAATTAAAAATGCATCTGCCTTTTGACCCAGCCATCCCACTTCTGGGAATATATCTGAAGAAACTCAAAACACTAATTTGAAACAACATAAGCACGCCTGTGTTCATTGCAGCATTATTTACAGTCACCAAGATATGGAAGCAGCCTAAGTGTCCAACAATAGATGAGTGGATAAAACAACTATGGGACATTTACACAATGGAATTCTACTCCGCCATAAAAAAGAAGAAAATTTTCCTTTTTGCAACAGTGTGGATAGACCTGAAGAACATTACACTAAGTGAAATAAGCCAGTCAGAGAAAGACAAATACCTTATGATTTCACTCATATGGGGAATCTAACAAATGAACTGAACTAATAAGCAAAACAGAGCCAGACTCATAGACGGAGAACAGATAATAGCTAGTCGGGAGGGGAGGGGAAGTTGGGAGGAGAGATTGCGCTTTTGTTATATAGAGCATTTCTATATAGAAAAGCCTCCTTAGGGGCTGTCGTCTGACTGCATACAATACGTGTCCCTGAGTGTCTTCAAAACTTTTTGAATATATGGGTTGTGAAAGACTCTACAAGCATGTCCTTTTGAGAAAATGTTTCTGTGATTGAGAGAATCCTGAGCTGAGAAGGCTGAACCGAAACCCTCCTCTGAATACAAAATTTCACTGTCAGCGAATGCATGTCCGGATGTAGAGGTATAAACCCAGGTTTGGGCTCTGATACAGATAGGAATGATTGCCGCCCGGTACTGTCAGATTAACTCTAAAGATCTCAGTGAGTGAAAGTACACTCTACCTTATTCCCTCACACCCTGTTTTCACTTCATAACACAGATTCCCTACACTACCTCAATGACCCACACATCTGAACTAGAAAAGGAACTCTTAGGGTTTGAAAAAGGATAAAGGGCTCACGGATATGGACAACAGTGCCGTGTTGCTGGGGACAGGATATAAAGGGATGAAACGGTAATTAAAAAATGCAATAAAAATTATACTAAAAAAACTTATACATACAAATTAGCCTTAAAATCCACACCTAATTTTTTAAGAAGATATTTTAAAATGTCTTAGGCATGCTCGTATATTAAACTTAATACACAAGTGTTGTGTTTTTAGAAATGCCTTTGGTTTTTAGAGAAAAAAATTAAACTACCCTGATTAGCACTACAAATCATGTGTAAAAGTCAAGGCCATAGCTGAGCTGAAATTAGGCAGAACTGTGCTTGACTAGCTCACTTATTTAATGCAAGAGAAAAAACTAATGGAAGTTCCTTACCCAGCAATTTGTCACTACACTCTGAATTTCTTCTCCTTGCTATGGAAGGATGCATTTATGTCATTGACTTTGTTTAGTGTGAACTCTAAAATGCCAAATATGAGTACATTTTTATATAAAAATATTTGTTTCTATTTTAAAATTGTATATTCTCATATTTCAAAGCAAGTAATAAATTTGTCATCTTAATATTTTCAAGAATAATAAAAATCCATCAATTTAGAATTAGAAAATTAAGAAACAAATATTTTTTTAAAAGAATGTTTATTTATTTTTTTATTTTAATTTAGTTTTTCAAATACATTTGTCTCTGTTTACCACCCACCACTTTCCCTTGCCCCCTCCTTCCTTCCCTCCCTCAGCTCTTCACCTTTGGTTTTGTCCATGAGTCCTTGCTATATGTTCCTTGACTTTCCCCTTCCCTTCCTTTTCCCCACCCTCCCTTCCCTCTTGTCTCTGTTGATTCCTTTTCCTTTCAGTGTTGATGGTCTTATTTTCCTTGCATCTTTGTATTGTTGGTTAGGTTCCACTTATAGGTGAGATCATATGGTATTTGTCGAAGAAACAAATATTTTGAAGCTTTCTGGATACTTTATGCTTCGTATGCTGTCTTTATCCCAAAACATTTTTTTTTCTATTTTCATCTGAGTCTGCTCAGGTGCTAAAACTATAGTCAAAAGTTTTAGTATCATAATTTACTGTTGAACTACACTAAATACCTACAGCTCTTCAGGCACAGAATTTACTAAGAGAACATTATTTTCCAACCCTCATTCCCCCTCTGTTCTAGCTTCAAATATCCTGGCTCATATGATTACCTACATCACATAGGCTAAGAATGAAAAAAAAGGTTAAAAAGTAAAAGTAATATAGAGAAGAAGAACAAAATTGAAAAGTCAAAACTAAAAGAAAAAGAATCATTTAGCATCATTGTCACACCTGAGAGATAAACAAGGTCCACCTACTATCTACTCTGAGAAAGTAATTTTAATGACTCAGATTGTTTGATTATTTAATGATTTGATAACATAAATTTCAAAGCATTTATTTAAAAATTAAATATTGTCTTTATCATATTTTTTATAGGTGGTGATGGAAGTTAACAGTGAATTTCAAATCCAGGTAACATATAATGAATTTATTTCTTCAATTTAGAAAGATTGAGCAAAAAGGAAAAAGGACTCATGGACAAGGACAACACTGTGGAGGCTGCTGTGGGTGGGTAGTATCAGGACACTAAAGGGTAATGGAAAAATACAATAAAGGAAAAAGTTAAAATATTTAAGGAAATATGTATTAAACAAAAACAAAAAAACTAAGTCAGTGGTTTGGGAGTAACTACATAAACCTGATGTCCCACCCTCTACCCCAGAATTCACCTTATAAGTAAAGTTAATTTTAGGTGTAAATTAATAGAGTATCAAAACTACCAGTCTTCCCCAAAAAAGCATTCTTTCTGTCATTACAATGACTTCTCCTACCATTTCTTTAGTGGAATGTGAATTATGAATAAAAGTTAATAGATATCACTAATTTACCCTGCCCCTTCAAGGTACGAGATTATAACACTAAAAATGGCACCATCAAGTGGCATTCAATCAGAAGGCAAAAACGTGAATGGATCAAATTTGCTGCCGCCTGCCGTGAAGGTGAAGACAACTCTAAAAGGAACCCGATAGCCAAAGTGAGTATCAACCCCAAAACATAAAAAATCAAAATGGATGAAGTTAAAGTTTCAAAAGAACCTGTCTTTTAAATATTTTATGAACATATCTCACTGAGAAGTTATGATGTAAAACAGAATAGTCATTCAGGTTATGAAAATTGAAGCCATTAAAAGGATAAGTTAAGAAATGTAGGCACTCGCTTAAACAGTTAAACACCGACTCACCTTACTGGTGACATTAATACACATACATAATCATGTGTTACCTTAAACTCTAGATTTTATAATGATAGTGATTTAAGTAATGAATTTACCACTCGGCACAGTTAGAGGAACTATTTCAATGTCTGCTCTTTCTGCCTCATAATCTATTAGAATTAAATTCCTGCTTTTGGCTTGTTTATGAGCATTCACCATGTACCCTCTTTTGTAATATTTTTCCTTTCACTTCCCTTTATATGCTTTTTACACACATGTGCACACTCCAAAACACATCAACACACAGATTCACTCATATACATTTATATATACGCACACATACATACACTGACACACATTCAAACATAGCACTTTCACATAAATACACACAGGGACATTCCCCATGCAATATTTTATTTTAAAAAAAGAGTTCTGATTTCTATAACCATTTATTTAAGCTGGTCTCCTCACTTTCCTGCTAAAACATCCTCTCCATTTTCAGAATTAAGAGCCTCTTCTTACAGTAAGATACCTTTTCTTACCTACATAAATCCACCTCAGTCTTCTAAAAGTACAATTAAATTTTTTTTGAATTGGAAGATCAAAGTTATGTTAAAAAAAACACTGGTACACTCACTAAAATGGTAAGTAGTTCCCTGCTCTAGACCTAGTGTTAGCATGGAACCTGAAAATCATACAATCAAGTTGTAAATGTTGAATGAATGAACACATAAATGATGATTGTATAGGCTAGAAGTATTAGGGTGATATTTTACTTTTTTATTATTTGTTAGATACAAACTGAATTTCCTCTATTACATTAACAGTTACCACTGAAATATTAGAGCTCTAACTACACCACTTATCTAGTAAAATAATTCTCTACTTCCAGAACTTCCCCCAAAATAACAGGGACAGAACATTCAACACATCTTTAAAAAGAGAGCAATTATATATGAAGTGTAACAGACTTATTTTGCAGCCTGTCATGTTTTCAACTGTGCTCTTTCCGCAGATCCATTCAGATTGTGCTGCAAACCAGCAAGTTACATACCACATCTCTGGAGTAGGAATTGATCAACCACCTTTGGGAATCTTTGTGATTAATCAAAAAACTGGTGAAATCAACATAACATCCATAGTTGATCGAGAAGTCACCCCGTTTTTCATTGTAAGTGGGTGCTGTGTCAATATACATGTTCAGTCCTAAGTTATTTTTGGAATATCTCAAGCTCAGCTCATATTTGATTTCATTTTAAGAGTCTCAGTATAGGTATTTTGGGTTGTCTCTTAATTCATGAGCAGCTATGACCCAGAGACACAGAGAGAGGGCTGAGAGACTGAAGAGTGTTTCGCCTAATTGCTTTAGCAAAAATGCTAACCTTTGGCCCGGCCCAAGTGGCAGACTAGAGCATTTGCATTGGAGGGCAAGTACTCAACCTTTACTTTCCTTAATACAGTTGAGAATGTTGGTCTCCGCCAACTCTAGGGCCAAGTGATGATTCTATAGGTGCTACAGGAGCCTTTTCTTAGTGAACATACTTTACTATAAATGCATGTTGCTCAAGCTCACCTGAGCACAGCATTTGCCTTGGAAAGACTTCAGTTCCTCTTTAAATGAATCTTACTCTATTCTTTACGGTAGCTATGACAAAGCTTAAGTGCTCACTCTTCAAACCCTTAACGTCATTCCTACTTCAAGCAGCTGACCTCATACCAACTCCATTAAAATATCTCAGGCTCTCTGCCACAGACTCCTACAATTAATTCTCCCTGCCTGCTCAGAAATGGTCTACCTTAAATCCAAAAGCAAGATGAACCTTCTATGTTTCTTTAATATAGCTCGAGAGTTTCCATTTTCCCATTTACCTGGTATTCAAGAACTTTATTTTTCTGCTTGCTCTGTGGGTTGCTTCCATCATTGTCTACTTTGGTAATACTTAAAATTAAAAGTAAAGAAATAAAGAAAAGCTCCCTCAATGAAGTAACTTCTTCTATTAAAACCTCATCAATCCATTTCCAAAAATGCCTTCAGAGAATAATCTATGCCTGCTGCTTTCACTCATACTGCTTGTCTGTATTCCTAACATTATTTTAATCCCCGAGTCTTCTCTTCCAATTAAATATTCCTGCTTTGTTTCCCATAATGTTTTCCCAAATCACCCTAAATCAGCATGGCAGCCTGTAAGATCCTCTTAAAGCACAGTGCATTTTACATGAAATATACCATAGGTAAAATAATACACATTATATTATACTTATGCACACACCTAATAATAATGAGAATACAAGCACCCATATAGCCACGACCTACCTTACGAACGCTCTGTTTCTTTGAAGCTCCCATGGGACTCTCCTTTACCACAGCCTCAACCCCAGTAGTCCCTATTCCTAATTCCAAACATTGCCTTTTCATTACTTTGTTTCTTCCTTCCATGAATCCCTTTCCTTGGAACACCCAGCCGATTCCCGGCTCCACTTGTTGAAATTCCCTTCAAGATCTACCTCAGTCATTGCGTTTCCTATGATAGCCTACTGTTGCTGTTCGTCCTTTCATAGCTGGTCATGTGACCTTTCCTCAAATGGTATTTTTTGTTCATTTTTACCTGCACTTATTGACTGTAAGTACTGCTTGTGCTTACACTCCAGTAGTGTTATTTTTTTTCAGTTACACAGTGCCTAGTACTGATCCAAGCAAAATAAAAATGTAAGATTTGTTGAATTATATAATTATTCCTCTTTTATTTTCCAGATCTACTGCCGGGCCCTAAATGCACAAAGACAAGATTTAGAGAGGGTTCTTGAGCTCAGAGTTAGGGTCTTGGATATAAATGACAACCCTCCAGTGTTTTCTATGTCTACTTTTCTAGGACAAATAGAAGAGAATTCTAATGCAAGTAAGTAAGCAACTTTATTAAGTAATTAAGCATATATTGGCTTCCAGATCATTCTTCATCAAAACTGCTTCTAGCATTAATGGTAAAGATGAAAGATAGGACAAAGGATGTAGTTAAATAAGCATCTTTTTAAACCTTCTACTTCCCTAGCCCTGAACTAGGGACCATTCAAAACAGAGCAATAAGACATATTTACTGAGGATGCATTAGCCAGTAGGAAGTGTGTATGATTTTCTCACATGAAGCTGCTTAATTTGCTCATGAACTCACAGAGGACAGTACTGTTATCATCCCCATTGACAGGTGTGGAAACTGAGACCAAGGTCATACATCAGGAAAGTGCCACAAAGTTGAGAAGCTGATGGTATCAGTTTGTTTAATATCATTTTGTTTCACCACAGTGACCTTAAAAAAACAACAACATTAGACTAGAATAGGAAATGGAAAGGCAGAATCCAACATTTCTTCGTTTTCGAACTATCAGCAATCTCTAGGTTCTTGGTAAAATGTGATCTGTCGTCAATGCAAACGTATAGAAAGGAGGTAATATATGACTACGTGAAAGGAGGAGAAAGGAAAAATGGAAAAGTGCACATGATGTGAACCAAAAAGCCTAACAACTTGTTGAAAAAGTAAGATACTATATTATGACAAAAATGGAAACTGTCCAATAGCAATACATTTTCCTTGATTTCTAGATACCCTGGTGATGAAACTCAATGCTACTGATGCAGATGAACCCAATAATTTGAACTCCAAAATAGCCTTCAAGATCATAAGCCAGGAGCCTTCTGATTCATCCATGTTCATTATCAACAGATACACTGGCGAAATTCGAACAATGAATAATTTTCTAGACAGAGAGGTAATTTCTTTTTCTTTGAGCGGTTAGTCCATAGGAACTGACTCTAAAAGCAAGAGTACCTAAGAGAGAAAAAAGGAACTATGTTTTAAATTTTTAATTGCCTAATCTTTTTACATAATGGTAATGACATAAAAACATCTTTAAAATGAAAAGAGGGGGGTTCCTCACATACATTTTATACTGTCATTTCTTTCATTTAATCTGCCAGCATTTGCCTCAACTTAAGAAAACTGTATTCTGAGGGCCCACAACATATACATTCAGTATTTTGCTAGAATATCCCCCACCTCGGAGAATCACAGTGCATGAACATGGCTGAGGCTCCGAGAATTTTTACAGGCTAAGCTACTGGTTTATCTTTCTTTTTTCTTTTTTTTTAAGATCTTATTTATTTGTTACTTTAGAGAGAGTGGAAAGGAGGGAGAAAGAGAAGGAGAGGAGCATCAGTGCGTGGTTGTCTCTTGCCCGCCCCCAACTGAGGCCGCGGCCCACAACCCAGGCCTGTGCCCGGACTGGGAATCTAACGGGTGACCCTTTGGTTCTCAGGCCGGTGCTCAGTGCACTGAGCCACACCAGCCAGGGCTGTTTATCTTTCTTTAACACAGTATATTGTAAACTTCTTTGACAACAAAAAAATCTTCTTTTACTTCCTGTGTTGCACCTGTTGACAGCCCATTGATTACCTTGGGATATGAATCACAAAAACACAATGATCATTAACAATTAAGTAACATCCAGATCAATGTTTGCATTTACAAAACAGAAAACAATTAGTGACCGTTATCAGGTAATGATCAGCATTATAGGTTTTCTACCATGCCCTGTGGTCTCATAACTTAATGTAAAAACATCAACTTTTCATTATTTTTTAATATTTATAGAATATAGCTGACCTGTACATATTGTACGAGCTATGAATGAGGAAGTTTTACTTTCTAAGTTATACCCTATTAATTTTAGTCAATATAGCTATTTATTTTTTTTAAAGATTCTAATTATATACTTTTAGAGAGAAGGGAAGGGTAGGAGAAAGAGAGGAAGAGAAACAGCAATGTGCCAGAGATACATTGATCAGTTGCCTCTCACACACCCTGAACTGGGCAGCTGGTCCACAAGCCAGGCATGTGCCCGGACTGGGAATCAAACCAGTGACCCTTTGGCTTGCAGGAGGTCACTTAATCCACTGAGCCACACCAGCCAAGGCTCAGTAGACTTATTTAAAAATGACAATCTCCTGTTAATGGCCTAGAAGTTAAGCATAAATCAGATTATATTAACACTTCTTAATGATCCAAAAGCCATCGGTTTCTAGGTTACTTATATTTCCTTTTATACTTGCTTGAAACTATAATCAGAAGAAATGGACTATTTAGCTCTTTCTCAAGCTTTCTTAAAGAACCCAGTGAAAGTACTTTAATGTCGAAAGAGTTGTAGTGGTGAAAGCTGTAAGGAGGGAAAGAACTCTGCATTTACTGGGATGCCACCAGGGCACATATTCTTAATTGGGGTCCACGGGGAGACTCCGAGATGTCCCTAGCTATGAATCCTCTAAGAGTACATCACAGTTTCGAATGAGAATGCAGTTATGCATATTTCTTGAAAAGCAGTCAAAGCTCATACCAGCTTCTCAAAATTTAAACACCTTGAGTAGAATCAAGAAGACAGATCATCAATAATTTCACGGCCACAACCTGCCTCCATCACCCCCTGAGAAATGCAACCATGTTATCTGTCCTTTATTCCTCCACACTGGGGGCTGATTATCCAAGGTATGGAAATTTCAAACCAAAATTCTTGATAAACCTTAATTTCTTTCCTCCTGATCATTGTGACCCACTTTATCCCCTGTAAACATTTTGACATTCTGAGAATAGAATACGGAAGGAGGCCTTTAAGAGTGTTGCTTTTTAAAATGAGGTTGGACAACTATTTTGGAGACTAGAGACTAGAAGTGGCAACTTTCATATTGATTCATGTGCGATTTGTGAATTTTCCATCATCTGTTACCCTTATCACCACCATAGATTTATGTAACTTTTGTGGCAATATTTTAAAAGGACTTTGCAAGAGACAGAATAAGGACTGTCTGTATCAACTGATCTATTGTATGTAATGTGCATTTTAGCTATATAGCCAATATTCTCTTGCTGTAAGAGGTTCAGACCGAGATGGAGGAGCAGGTGGTTTGTCAGCAGACTGTGAGTGCAGCATTAAAATCCTCGATGTCAACGACAACATCCCATACATGGAACAACCTTCAGTAAGTATTTGTCTTTGAAAATAATAATTTTTACTCATGACATCCTAAAATTTGTTTGAACAACCCTATTCACAGATAGATATATATGTTCTCTCTAGTCACATGCAACCCAAATTTAGACGTGTACTTTGTGCTTGTTTATTCAAAGCACAGGGAGAAAATATTTGAACACTGAAAAGTCTGACTATAAACACAGATCCTTTTTCTAAATATTGAATAACTGTAAATATTCAGTATAAGTCTAGTATAATTCTCTCACTCACAGAGGTTTTTTTTTTTACTTCTTTTTTCAGTATTCCATAAAAATTGAAGAAAATGCTCTGTATTCAGATTTGCTCCAAATTAGAGTCATTGATTTGGATGAGGAGTTCTCAGCTAACTGGATAGCAGTAATTTTCTTTATCTCTGGAAATGAGGGAAATTGGTTTGACATAGAAATGAATGAAAGAACAAACGTGGGGATTTTAAAGGTTATTAAGGTATGGTATAATTATCCTTGTCTTTTTCCAAATGCTAATCTTAAAATAAAATGTTAAGATTTTACAAACGAGTGTATTAAAGAATGAAAATTACTGTTTTAAATGGTATATGAAATAGAGCTTTTACATAGACTTTTTGCTTATATAATTTTATGAAAGCAGACATTGAATTTTAACTCGAAACACTTCTGTTTACACAGTATTCCCTCACAGATCATAGGAATTGAAAGAAGTTCCAAGCATTAAACCTACCTTATACTTACAGAAAAAGTATGGTTAATGGTTAAAATATTGTTTTAGAATATTTAGAAAAATATTTTTAATCAGATTGAACATTAGCCTTTATAAAATGTGTCCATTTCTACATTATATGACAATCATTATACACTAAGAATATTCATCAAATAAATGAAAGTTCTTTATTCCTCCAGTGTCTTTTTATGAAATGAAATAGACTCTAACTGTAGAATCACATTCCCGTCTCATTGTGGCCGCTGACCAAAGTTTATTATGACATAAATACACTAGAGATTTGGTCCAAGTCACTAGAGTTTTCCTGTGTCCCCCGTAGACTAATGATCCACCAGATTCACCTGCAGTAGAATTCCCTGTGAGACGTGAGGCAGAATGTCTGACTCCTGGGGAGCTGGCAGTGAAAACTTCACCCTGTGCTGCAAGACCTACCCGGTCTATGTTTAAAATTTGTGAAAGCGGTACATGGACTGTGTGTGGTGCGTGCAAGATGGATCTTTTTAGGAAAATATAATTCCTTTTTTGCTATTTCCTTCCTTCAGAATAATCCTCAGAAAAGACTCCTAAGGAATTCTGTCCCCTTAGGAATGTGTGATCACTTGTTTCATAAAGTGTCACCGTGGCTCTCGCGTCCATGTGGCGAGGCCCTGTGCAGAGCCTGGAGGCCATCCCTCCCAGCACCCCCCGCCGTAGGTTACCCGCGCCCACGCCCACGTTCAGGCAGGTGCTGCGAGGGTCAGAGAGAGTGCGCAACCTGCTCGCGTTCTCCCGACGAGGAAGTGCTACAGCTGACATTCAGACCTCCGTCTCTCTAGCTACCCAGTCCGTATTCTTTCCACCGCGCTGCCTGGATTCCATGCTGGGGAAACGGAGTCCTAAACTATCTTACACCAAACCACTATAACGCTTGAGAAAGTTAATCTTTCCTCAATACCTCTCTCTGTAAAATGGGAATGATTTTGATTTTTTCTCCCAGACATGATATCATATTTTCCCCTTTTTTGTGAATATATACTATATATAATATGTATTTGTGTTTCTGTATAATATATATGTATACATGATTTTATAGCCATTCTTTACATTGCAAATAGAGTTTATATTAGAGCAAAGACTAAAAATTTTATCTTAGTGGAGAGTTCAGTTTGTGTATAAATGATCATCTAAGTTACTCTCAAGTGAAAATTTGGAAAAACAAATTTGGCATAACAGACAGTTTGAGGGTTTTATGAGTAGTGGTTGGTGACACCATCTTTTATAATGAAAATGACTACTTGACTATTTCACAAGATGAAAAAAATTTCTCCAGAATATGTTGAAAAAGTAAGAATTTCTTTTTATTATATATATACTACATTCAAACACCGGTCTTAATGAAAGAAGTTGCATTAATAGAGGTAAAATTCTTCTAAGTAGTTCTCTATGGATAAACCAGTCAAATGATGGAAATTATAATGTATCATCCCATACTTTGTATATATAGAACTACTTTGTGAATAACATGAAATGATAAAATCTAACATAAACTGTCTTTGCACTGCAAAACACATGGATTTGACCATCTATATTAAGTTTCTAATGTGGTGGACAATTAAGACTCATGCCACAACTTGTCAATTTTTGCAACAAAGAATCTAAGAAAATTGGATTTTTTTCTTACTATGTATATTTCTTGTGTATGTACTGGAATATAAAGAAAGTAAGAATGCATTGTATATTTATATGTATCTATAACTTAAAAAGAAGTCTAAAGATTTCTTTGCCTGTTATCACAGGATTTCTTTCACTTCTAGAATTTTTTTCTTCTTATAATGAAACTATTTCACTCTGTATTTTCTAGCCCTTAGATCATGAAGCTATGCAGAGTCTCCAACTTAGTATTGGTGTTAGAAATAAAGCTGAATTTCATCAGTCAATTTTGTCTCAGTACAAGCTCACAGCTACTACGATCTCTGTGACTGTGTTAAATGTAATTGAAGGCCCAGTGTTCCGTCCAGGTTCAAAGACATTCGAAGTAAATAGTAACATGGGACAAAATTATGAAGTGGGAGAATTTACAGCTACTGATCAGGACACAGGTCGAGCTTCAACAACTGTTAGGTAAGACTGACATTTTCCAAGTAATTTTCATCACATATTGGATTAAGTACATATATTCTTTTTAGGAATGTTAAGTATGAATTAAAATATTTTTCAATATTTAGAAACTATCATCTAATTGTAAAGAGTACTAACTACTGAACTATTACCTAATTTAGAGTGCTTAGCTTAAGAACATATAATTTGTATAAAATGTAAGATGTAAAAGTTTGAAGTTGTAAATTGTGGAAATATTGTATCTTTAGAGTTTGACACTCCTGTGCTTATATATTTTATTGCCCAATTAGCTGATTACCACATATCAAGGTTGTTTACCCTGGAAGATTTTCTGGACTGATTTCCCCATTGGAAATTTGCCCAGATTGAAATCCATTAGATTTAGTTACTCTCTTTTCTTTAATCAGCACTTATGTTATACGCATGTGCTTGTGACCAAGCATTACAGTGAGGGAAAAGCCTCCCAAATGGGCTCTGTAAGTTTGCTCTCTGCGCTCTTCTCACACTGTGTGAGTAGTTCTGTTCTGTCTCTTATCACACTGGGCCACCATTGCCGATAAACTCTCTTGTGCCCTGCAGATGTGAGTTCATGGAGGGCAGGTCACCCTCCAACCCACCACCCTGTTCCCCTTAAAGTTCTGCTCCCTGAGTTTAGCAGAATGCCTGACACAGAGAGTTACTGCCCAGTGCTTCCTTAACAAATGTAAATGAGGGGAGGAAAGGAGTGATGTGAAAGATGAGGAGAGAAAAGAGGATAGAAAACAGGACAGAAGCACAAGGAAAGGACAAACATAGTTTGGAATTCAACAGAAGCCCTGTGAAGTCATTGTGTATGTGGAGAGGGGGAGTGGAAATAGGGAGGGGATGACGGCCAAGCTAATGATGAAGTAACTTCTTTGGTGAGAGAATGATCTAGAATTATTATGAGCTCTCGAGAAGTCCTAGGATCTGGGTCTTCCCCAGTAGCTCTGGTGCTTCCAAAGTCAAATCAAAATGAGATTGCAAGCATTAAAGGAAAATTTTGACATCCAAGTGGGCTTAACTTGGGTTAATTGGGATATTCCATTAGAAAGGGCTGCTCAGTAACTTTTTTCTTAAATTTACATCTTGGACTATTCTGAATGTCTTCAAACAGCTGGAAGTACCCCGAAAAATAGTATCTAATAACTGAAAAGAATATTCAGGGGTTATAACTCTGACTTATGGACTGGACACATGTTTAATAAACAAAATTGCTTTCTCTCTCTCTCTTCTGTTGGAGAGCTGACATTAATTTGTACTGTTATCTTTCAAATACAGATATGTAATGGGAGATAATCCAGCTGACCTGCTTGCTGTTGACTCAAAGACAGGCATAATTACTTTGAGAAATAAAGTTACCTGGGATCAATATACAATGCTTAATGGAAAATACCAAGGAACAATTCTGTCTATAGATGGTAAAAGATTAATTCATCAATTTATCTTTTTCCTTCTAGAGGAAGTTATAGATTTTCACAGAAATTAAAATTTAAGCGTATTTTGAAGTAATTGTCTTTCTAACAAAACATAATATATTGGGTATTATAGAATCTTTAATAATGTGGAAAACAGTATAATTTAGTGGGTAAGACCATGAGCTCTGGAGTGAGATTGGTTTGGCATCTTTTACCATCATTTACTAGAAGTGAGATTTTAAAGTTCTTTAAACCATTTATCCTTCACTCTTCAACATGGATTTAAGGAGTTACTATATGTAAAGCAGTTAGACTTCCAATAAATGTTAGTTCTTAGCAATGTAAATAATTATTTTAAACTGTATGTATTGTAAAATTATTTTCAAATAGTTAGGCCAGAAGCCAAGCTAACTTAACTTTACATAATCTTTAGAAAGTTGATGTAAAACTTTGTGTAAACAATTTGGAAGTAGCATGCTTATATAACTCTTCAAAACCAATAATATTAAATTAAGCTGGTTACTTAAGGAGGGAAGTTCCTGAGGGTGACTCTAGTAGCAATACTTGCTACTTCAGTTGTCCTCCTCCCTTCTTTCTCCCTCTTTTTCTTCTTTCAATCATCTTAAAACAGGGTTGACAGTTTCCACTTGCTTTACAGATTAAAAATAATAATAATAAAAACCATTTTTAAGTCATTATACAATTCAAAATTATAATGTTTCTTCCACAATCAGTCAAAATGAATGTAGTTTTAAAACTAATATTACAAATAGAAATGTGATTCCATCTATCAATAAACCTTATTTTGAATCAGCACTGAAATAAACTTAAGTAATTACTAGTTTACCCTTTTTCTTACATCCAACATCAAGCTTAATTGGAGACATGAAGGGGAAATTGGAACTTAGCTTATAAAATTGTTAGGCTCCTGGCAAGGAGAAATCATGCCTTTGCTCTTCAACAATTGCAGCCTTCTAGAGATAAATACTACATGTGATGATAATGATAAAAATAGCAACAGAACAATAACAGTAGAATCAGCAGAGCTGAGATGAAAGGTATGGGCTTTGACATCATGGACTGGATTTACACTTGTCTCTGTTATGCACTTCTGCGGATATCTTTATTCATTTACTGCGAAACTATATATTGAATTGCAACCCAACGTCAGCCATTGGGCTAAGTTCTAGGGTTATATCAATGGAAAAAGGCTGACAACTGAGCTCACATTTATATTAATATAACAGAGATTAAAAAATCATGTCAAACAAAATCATTCTTTTAGTTTTACCAAATTTCAATAATCCTAGGAAAATCCCTTAACATAAAAGACAATGCACATAGATGTTATTCACAGCATTATCTATAATAATCAACTATTGAGAGCAATGTCAGTAATAGGTAACTGGGTAGGTAGACCATTGTTCACCTCACACAAAATTATGTAGTCATCAGAAATTATTTTACTGAAATGATTTTTAAACATGGAAGAACTCTTACAATGCAAAGTAAAAAATATAAAATGGAATGAACCATATGATCTATCAATGAAACTTAAGTAAAATGTAATTTTCAGGCATTATAATTAAGGTCCAAATTTAATATAACAGATATTGTTCTTGGGTAGTGCAACTGTCGGTTTCTTTTTGTCTTTGTTTTGTTTTGCTTCTTTATATAATATTATACTTTTCAAATTATATACAATATCCAACTACTCATAATATAAAGAAATATTCCCATAGTGTTACTGGTAATAATTCATAATATGGTTGATTGTAATATTTCAAACAGTTTTTGAGAGTATATGTTATGCACATGTGAAATGCCACAGTAGGCACATAAATATTGCTACTTCTCTTCCCTTGCAGTTTGATGAAATAAGCTATAGATGACCTGAGTTCATAGTGTGTATATAATTGCACACTGCAATTATCTTACTGCAGTGTATATATAATTTGAAAAATAAATCACATTTTCTTTCTTTAAAAGATATGCTATAATGATTTGTGTAGCCAATTTAGTTTCATAAAAATGGGTTGCATAGTATTTAAAAGATTGTGTTCAAAATATTAAAAACAATCTACATGGCTCAAAAGCATTTAAAATAGCAGATAAAGGCTGGTAAATTTGGGAAATTGGGAGATGGTGTTCAAAAACTACAAACTTCCAGTTACTAAATAAATATGTTCTGGGGGTATAATGTACAGCATTAAAATTATAGATAACAATACTGTACTAATGATATAGACTTAAAAGAGTAGATCTTAAATTTTCTCACTACATACACACAGAAAAAAAAGATATGGAAACTATGCGATACAATGGAAATGTTAGCTTACACTCCTGTGGTAATCATATTGTAGTACATAAGTGTATCAAATCAGCACATTGTACCCCATAAAGGTATGATGTTACATGTCAATTATAGTTTCTCATTAAAGTTAAAGGAATTGATAGGGAAAAAATGTCTAGGAATTTTAAAAAATTGCTTCAGTAATAACCACATGTAAATAATTGCAAGTGGGCTAGAGAAAAGGCTAATGTTCCATGAGCATCATTCCTACACTGCAGCAGGGATTGTAATGACCACTGAAGTCTGGCCTGCTAACACATATTGACGAAGAAGCTTTCCTACATTGCGGATGCTCCCTTCGGAAACCTCACCTCTGGAGGAGAAAACAATCACACCTGGAACTTTCAGTAATGTGGTTTTTGTGTAGTGAGCAATTGCTAATCCTGAATTTTCACATTCAAGTCCTACAGAAAACAAACAATGCAGATGTGATGAATGAATCTCTTTTAAGGTATCTTAGGAGAGAATAGATAGAGCAACTGCATGCAAGATACAATTCATTTCAATAGGTGTGAAACATGACTGACTTTCTAAATCAAAGGTAAATAATGATCACAACAATGTATTTTTAATATTGGCTTGAGCAACTTTTTTCATTTAAAGCTATCTTTTTTATCACCTCTCACATATACTACTTTTGATTAAATTGTTATAGATTAAATACATGATTATTTTGATAGCTTTTAATGGGCTAGTTTTCTTGCAAGATAAGGACACAAATATAAATTCAAATGTGTTTCTTATTCAACTTTATTGAGATATAATTTACACTTAAAAAAACATCTTTTTAAACTGTATCGATTGATGTGTTTTGACAAATGTACACATCCATTTTTATAATGCCACAAACAAGACCTAGAACATACTCATCACCATGAAGAGCTCCCCTTTGCAGTCATTACCACAGCTCTGCTTCAGTTCCAGGCACCTGCTGATCTAAATGCAGATGTATTTTGATGTACTGCCCTGTGTATCACAGGCACTCAAAATCAGTATACCATTTTGAAATACTGGTTGCTTGGCTGGTTGAAATAAACAGCAGTGTAGAGCAATTAAGTTGAAACAAATAACAAATGCCCCTACCCCTGTGTTTAGTCAAGGAACACAGTGACAAACTGAAACTTTGAAGGACAAGAAGAAAGCAAATTTGGAATATCTGCTTGAGAAACAAAGTGTCTTACCTAATGTTTGAAATGAAAACTCACCCCCACCTCCAATAGCGTCAATTCCCTCTCATATAAGTTAATGGTTATGAGTTTGGGAACATGCAGCTTTATCACTAGGAAATTTTTGTAAAACTGAATTACCAACCTGTTTAAAATCTGTTCATTTTGTCAGCCCATAAATAACCACGAACATAGTTGAAAAACAAAGACAGTAAAACAACAAACAAAAAAATTTAGCCCTAATATTAGAAATGTGCAAAAAAAAAGTCTAGAAATGCCTCCACTGTGCCTTACAACACACCACTGGCCAATACTTACTTTCTGGCATCTACTATTTATGCTTCCCGACACATGAGACAGTTTTTCAGGAGCACTGAAAGTCATAACGGTTTGATTTAAAAACTGAGTCATGAACGAGAGGGACAATTTGGGAAGTTACTAAATTGATGGGAATAAAGATATTGAAATAAGTATTGGTGCAAAAAAGAAAATAGTTTTGTATTGTCTAACAATTATTACACTAAATGTATAAAATATTTCTTCCATTTTTTAACGTTTCAGATGCTCTTCAGAGAACTTGTACGGGTACGGTTATTGTGAACCTAGAAGGTGGTGGCTGGGTACCTTCTGATTCTACTACAAGATTTGTTGACAGAGAAAAATATGATCCTACTACTCCTCGTCCTATTATAAGAACAACTTATGTAGTAACCTATGCCCAGCCCTTCATCGCAGATAATGTACATCTTGGTCCTGCTGGCATTGGACTACTCATCATGGGATTCTTGGTGTTAGGATGTAAGTACTTCAACAGTCCAATTTATACATGCCCCCACCTCAAAAAATTGTGAGAAATATTTTGATCTTTTGAATAAATGCATTTTACAAATGCTTATTTTGTTCAATTATCAAGATATTTCTACATTTGGTAATGGATTTATAAGATAAAAAAATCCAACTGCTAGGCAGTGGAGGATAAAATCTTTTTTGCATTAAACCTCAATGTAACGGGAAGTCCCATAATAGGCAAGTCAAATCACTATTTGAGCGAAGAAGACAATGGGAAAGAATTGATTAAAGCAGTCAGAAAAGCCTACATACAGAAAATAAATTCTCAGTTGGATATTAACAGAACTAGCCTGATGAAGAAGAAAAAGGAAACAAAATACAAGGAGAAAAAAAAATCTATGGGTAAATCCCCAATGAGTGAGAGTGCTGGTTATTGATGTAAAGGACTCCAATAAGAAAGAAAGAAAGGATGTGCAGGACTGCATTGTGAGAGTTGAGACTAGAAGGATAGGCAGGGGCCAGACCCTGAAGAGATTTCGTGCTATGCTAAGACTTAATGGAAGAGAGTTAGATAGACATAGGGTTAAACTTCAGCTTCTAACTATAATTATCTGTATCTTTCAAACCTTACTTAACTTGCTGAACCAGGCTTTTGTCACTTATTACCATGCAACATTGTTTTGATGATGAAAAAAAAGTATCCCACATGGCAACATTAGAAATAGATCATATTTATGGTCACCAGAGTAGATCTCAAGTATTTAGCCGAAAGGCTGTACTATCTAGTGAATTCTCTAAATGGCCTTCAACAGAGCCTTGGGTGATGATAGGTGTTAGAGTGGAGATGGGCTAGATCTTACCGTCTCTGAGGGATGAGAAGGGGAGCTCTGAAGTAAGTGGTTGACATCTGCACATTACTATTAAACATTGCCATTTTTCAGGTATAGAATCATAAAATTTCAGTGACAGAGGATACCTCAGGTATTATTTAAGTAAAACATACACACATAAAATATGAAATCAGAGCACTCCACATATGAAATATTTTTACTTTCACTTTTTTAAACACAGAAACAGCTATCCACTAGATAGTTCTCACTAAATTTATTAGTAAACTGGACTTTCTCTGATTTTAAATAACTTTCATCCTTTTGAAATTTTTGACCAAAATTGAATTCATGTACACCACAAAGGCTTTGGACATGCTGGTAGCACAACTTAAAGTGGAGGATCTTTTCCCACAATTGAAAATGAATTTCAAAAAATAAGAAATGTATATGTAAAGTAATACGATGTCATTCTTATTCACTCAAAGGAAATTGAAACGACCATGAAAAGTTCTATTAAAGGAGGAGAAAGGTTAAAAAACATTCTTATCAGAATAAACCAAGGCAATAAAAATGCTAGGAAATTTGCAGAATGTAATATAAAATATATATGAGAAGACATAATTCTTTAATTTCCCCTTTTTGGACATGTTAATTACTAACAACATTTTAAAACTTTTAAGTTAAATATTTTTCAAAGTAACAATTGACCCACGTGCTGATTACTTCTACTGTAAAACTATATAACTTTCACTTTGAGTTTGCTTTGTATATTGGTGACTGCCTTTGGTTAGTATGGTTAGTAAAATATTTATAAAGTATATTATGGGCTTAAGAGTCAAATAATTCTAGATTCAAACCTATCTCTCAGCCTGGCATATTTTCAAAAAACAAAACACCTGAAATTACTTTTCTCCTTTTTCCTCTTTCTCTCCCCCCCCCCATGTGTATATTATTTATTACACTGAATAAAATGACCACAAATATTCATACCTTTTGGCTTACCTCTACTGAGTTAAATACATTAACAATAATTTGCATACAACAATACAGTTTCCTTAACACCATAGAGAAATCATTTCACGTGCACATTTTCAACATGTTATGCATCTGTGATTCAGAAGTAACCTTGAACATTTTAAACAGCAAAAATACACAGAACAGTTACAAGCAAAAATAATGCAGGCGAAGTGCCCCGTGCTTTTATCAGAGACACACCACAGAAATCTCGGGTTAAGAGAACTTTAAAAACTATTTGGTGGTTAAGAATATTTGAGGGGGGAGTGGAGAGAATAACAGCTTTCCCTTTGGCTTAAGAGAGTCAACAGTTAGAAGTCATTGAACCTGGAGCTAGAAGCCCCGAGGAGCCAGAACTCTGAGGCAGGAAACAGCATGGCCAGGAGCTGGGTTGTCTCTTCCCTCCCTTCTCCAGGCCCAGCCAGGGTCCCTCCTTGAAGATGCTGCTGAGGTCACTTGTCTTTCAGAAGGGTAATCACGCCATGGGGAAGTGACGCTTTCATCTTAGTAGCTGCAATGAACCGTGATCTGTGAGATGCTCTGCCATTTTAAAGCACAAATGTCTGTATCCCAGCAGATAAACAGGCTGCACTGCTGGGAGTCTGAGCGCGACGCCTGCTGCCCGCCAGTCAGTGGCGCTGCGAGCAGGAAGCCAGGGAGGGGCCTAGCAGCCTGGAGGCAGCTGCCATGGGCTCCCAGAGCTGACTGTGGTCGCCCGCTACCATCAGTCACAGTCAGAGCTCTGCTGTTTTCTTGGCCTTAGAATCTCACTGAAGGCTTTTCATGAAAACCCCATCCCTAGGAATACATTTGGGGCACAACACATTGTCCTCCAGCTGCGGGGGGAGTGGCAGGCAGGTAGCAAGAAGAGTGCAGGCACTTTCTCCTGTTTCTCAGGAACCCAGGCTTGCCCAGCACTTCCCTCTGCCTCCTGCTCTCCTTCCTGCGCTCCTCCTGACCCACCCCCACCCTGCTTTCTTCTTCTTTCCCTCCTGCCTCACTTGTAAAAAATGTACACGTCCTTTCCTCCATACACCTGTTAATTCCAAATCCTTGTTTAAGACCATATTATGTTAAAAACCCTGGGAGAGAAACACACAGATAAGAAAAATCCAGTTGCTTAATAGTAAAAGATATTGGTAAGCAGTGTAATGTTCTCTCTTTCTGCATGAGTAAGTTCAAGAAAAGGGATCTGTCTACAGGCCAATAATAGCCTCCGAGGGGATAATTGCTTGAAGCCTGAGTAAGACGTTCCTTTGGAGATAAAAGGGCAGGCATGTGTGAAAGGACAAATATAAAGACGGGGAAGAGGAAAAGGAAAAATCAGACCTATGGACGAGTCTTTCCAGCTTTCTTTTTTCTCCCCTTTATTATTTTCCTGAGTAATGACAGGGGGAAGACGCATCTGTTTCAATAGTATAATACTATCTGCAATCTGAATCCCATATTACAAATTAAAATGGATTGTAACCTAGTATAGTGAAGCTCACAGTGATTCTGATAGCTCACCGTTACTCAGGTTATTTTCTGAAAACTTCATAATGATTTTAGGACCAAATAGGGTTATATTAAGGGTTCAAATTTAATAACGAAAAGCAAGTTGTTTGGTTTTACTATGGCCCCGCTGCTAATTTCAATATTCCCATCCTCTCACCATCAGTGGTCCCATTTCTGTTGACCTATCTTGATTGTGGAGGTGCCCCTGGTGGGGGAGCCGGCTTTGAGCCTGTTCCTGAATGTTCAGATGGAGCAATTCAGTCATGGGCAGTAGAAGGACCACAGCCTCAGCTCATGGTAAGTGTCCATCTGTAAGAAACGGCCTACGGTCGTCACCTAAACTCAGCCCTGTGCTCATGAAACCAGATGTGGGAGGTCACTGCCAGTCTATGCTGTTCTCTGTTCTGGGCTAACGGGTGGGGAAAATGGAGAGAAATCAGAGGCGCCTCACAATTCGGTGGAAGTAACCAGGGGAGGCTTTCTGAATGAGGTTCCTGTTTAAATGGATTTTGAAAGGTTCCTCAGTAGTATTCATTCAGAAAATCTGAGCTAATTTGACAACTAACCCAATGTGTGACTATAGAGTCAAAAGTCAATACAAATGGGAAAATGCTGTTTCTTGTCTTTTAGGATTTGACCGCTTTCCCTGTACCACTGGATAATGCAAATGTGATTGAATGTATTGACAATTCAGGTAATATTTTATTTTTTAAAAGTTTAATAACTAATGACTCGAAGGAATTTTGTTCTCTTTTAGTATACTTCACTGTTCTTCAATTATTTTATTTGTCTTTAAAACTGTTCTTATTATTCCTTTTTTAAATGACTGGTTGCTAAATAAATGTTAAGGAAAAATCTACAGTATTATTCCTATATGTTGAATTTTTAAAATCATTCTCTGATTACCTGATTAGGATGTCCATACAGAGGAAAAAATAACTAGATTGTAATCGACAAGTCAATATTGGTATGGTTTTGTTTGTTTGTATGTTTGTTTGTTTTTGTTCAATAGAGGAAACCTTATTTACCCCCAAAACACTGATTAGAATTAATGTACAACCCAATTAAAATAGATCTGTGCTCATTTATTGAGACTAGAATCTATCTTCACAATTCATGAATGGCTCAAAATCATGCTGACTTCAGCTGCTATCATAACAAAATTAAAAACTGTATCCATTCTCAGCATCCACATTAATGTTTACCTAAAAAGCTTTGTCCCGTTTTTCAGAATGAAAGTAAATGGATAAAACTCTATCAAAATCTTCTAAAGCTCTCACCTGAGGGTGTGTGCACGTGGTAGAGTTAGTCCTTGCACGTGGGTAAAACTCTCAGTATGATTTAATTTACAGCAGGGGTCTAGACCAATTCATAGGCAGACACCAGGGACAATTAGATTTTCACAGTAAGTGAATAGCTACCACTCTCACAAAAAGACAGTTAACTTTTAAAAACTTCTTATACCTTTGAAAAGAGTTGCATCAGCTTTCCTTTTTTCAAGGTAAGTAAATATTATTGATTCTCTTATTTTTCCCTCAGTTTTCAACAAACTTGTAATCATGACTTTTCTACTTTAAACTCTTTAAATTGCAAGAGGCACAGGCATGTTTGTAACTTGTAGAATGGACCTTATTCAAAAACTGGACAAGCTATTCTTTAAAACTATTCCTCCTCCTGATATACCGATTTTTGTTACGGCACTTACACCCCCGCAACCTCAAAATCAAAAACTCATTCTCTTTTATCTACCTATTTATTTATTTTTAACCTTTTTTATTGTTCAAATACATTTGTCTCCATTTCCTGCCACCACTTTCCCCTGCCCCACCCACCCCCAACTCCCTCCCTCAATCCTTCCCCACTTTGGCTTTGTCCATGGGTCCTTTATACGTGTTCCTTGATTTGACCCTTTCCCTTCTTTTCCCCATTAGCCCCCTCTCTCCATCCCTCTCATAACTGTCAGCTTCTTTTTTTTTCAATGTTGCAGATTACATTTTTCTTTCTTGTTTATTTTGTTGATTGAGTTCCACTTATAAGTGAGATCATAGGTATTTGATACAGGTATTTGCCTTTTACCCCCTGGCTTATTTCGCTTTGCATAATGCTCTCCAGTTCCTCTATGCTGTTACGAAGGATAGTAGCTCTTTCTTTCTGCTGTGTAGTATTCCATTGTTTAAATGTACCATAGTTTTTTGATCCATTCATTTATTGATGGGCACTTAGGCTGCTTCCAGCGCTTGGCTGTTATAAACTGTGCTACTATAAACATTGGGGTGCATATGTTCCTTTGAATAAGTGGTTTGAGATTCTGAAGGTAAAGCCCAGTAGTTGAATTGCTGGGACAAAAGGCAGTTCCATTTTTAGCTTTTTGAGGAAATTCCAAACTGTTTTCCACAGTGGCTGCACCAGTCTACATTCCCACCAACAGTGTACTAGGGTCCCCTTTTCTCCACAACCTTGCCAGCACTTGTTTCTTGATTTGTTTATGATGGCCATTCTGACCGGTGTGAAGTGGTATCTCCTTGTAGTTTTAATTTGCATTTCTCTGATGACTAGTGACGCTGAGCATCTTTTCATATGTCTCTGGGCTCTGTGTATGTCCTCTTTGGATAAGTGTCTACCCAGGTCCTTTGCCCATTTTTTAATTGGATTGTTCGTCTTGCTGGAGTGGTGTCATGTGAGTTCTTTATATAGTTTGGAGCTCAAACCCCTGTCTGAGGTATCATTGGCACATACATTTTCCCATATGGTTGGTTCCCTTTTCATCTTGCTGATGTTTTCTTTAGCCATGCAGAAGTTTCTTATTTTGATGAAGTCCTATTTGTTTACTCTTTTGTTTATGTCCCTTGCTCTAGAGGACATATTGGTGAAAATATTGCTGCGTGGAATATCTGAGAGTTTCCTGCCTATGTTCTCCTCTAGGACTTTTATAGTGTCAGGACTTATATTTAACTCTCTTATGTTGAGTTTATTTTTGTGTATGGTGTAAGTTAGTGGTCAAATTCCAGTGTTTTGCATGTAGCTGTCCAGATCTCCCAACACCATTTGTTGAAGAGGCTATTTTTACTCTGTTTTATGCTTCTGCCCCTTTGGTCAAATGTTAATTGACCATAGAGACATGGGTTTATTTCTGGGCTCTTTATTCTGTTCCATTGATTTATGTGTGTTCCTATGCCAATATCACACTGTTTTGATTACACTGGCCTTGTAATATAGTTTGCTGTCAGGTACTGTGATCCCTCCTACTTTGTTCTTCTTTCTCAAAATTGCTGCAGCTATTCAGGGTCATTATGGTTCCATATAAATTTTTGAAATGTTTGTTCTCTATCTGTGAAATATGTCATTGGTATTTTAATAGGGGTTGCATTGAATCTATAAATTGCTTTGGGTAGTATGGACATTTTGATGATGTTAATTCTTCCAATATATGAACACGGTATATGCTTCTACTTATTTGTGTCTTACTTAATTTCTTTCTTCAGTGTTGTGTTGTTTTCTGAGTACAGGTCTTTTATCTCCTTGGTTACATTTATTCCTAGGTACTTTATTTTTCTTGTTGCTATAGCAAATAGGATTTTTTTCCTGGTTTCTGATTCTGATATTTCATTGTTGGTATACAAAAATGCCTTCAATTTCTGAATATTGACTTGTATCCTGCTGTTTTGCCAAATTCACTTATTAGGTCAAGGAGTTTTTTTGGTGGAGTCTATGGGGTGTTCTATGTATACTATCATGTTATCTGCAAACAATGACATTTTTACTTCCTCCTTTCCAATTTGGATGCCTTTTATTTCTTTTTCTTGTCTGATTGCTGTGGCTCGGACTTGCAATACTATGTTGAATAGAAGTGGTGAAAGCAAACAACCTTGTCTTGTTCCCAGTCTTAGTGGGAAAGTTTTAGTTTCTGCTCTTTGAATATGATGTTGGCCTTTATTATGTTGCGGTATGCCCCCTTTATTCCCACTTTCTGAGTGTTTTTATCATAAATGGATGCTATACCTTATCAAATGCTTGTTCCACATCTATTGATATGATCATGTGTTTTTTGTCTTTCTTTTTGTTTATGTGGTGTATTACGTCTATTGATTTGCAAATATTGAATGATCCTTGCATTCCGGGGATGAATCCCACTTGATCATGGTGGATGATCTTTTTAATGTATTTCTGGATGAAGTTTGCCAATATTTTGTTGAGGATTTTAATGTCTATGTTCATCAGTGATGTTGGCCTGTAGTTTTCTTTGTTGTGTCTTTATCTGGGTTTGGGATTAGGATAATGCTGGACTCATAAAAAGGGAGTCTCCCCTCTTCTTGGATTCTTTGGAATAGTCTGAGAAAGAGAGAGGTTAGGTCTTCCTTAAATGTTTTGTAAAATTCTCCTGTGAAACCATCCGGGCCACGGCTTTTTTTGTGCCAGATGTTTTTTGTTACCTGCTTCAATTTCACCAGCTGCTATTGGTCTGTTCAGGATTTCTGCTTCTTGTTCATTCAGTGTTAGAAGGTTATATTTTTTGAGAAATTTGTCCATTTCATCAAGGTTTTCAAATTTCTTGGTATATAATTTTTCATAGTAATTTCTTACAATCCTTTGTATTCCTGTGGTATCAGTTGTTATTTCTGGTCTTTCATTTCTGATATTATTTATTTGGGTCCTCTCCCTTTTTTTCTAGATCAGTCTGTTTAAAGACTTGTCAATTTTGTTTATCTTTCCAAAAAACCAGCTCCTGGATTTGTTGATCCTTTAAATTGTTATTTTAGTCTCTATGCCATTCAATTCTGCTCTGATCCTGATTATTTTCTTACTTCTACTCGCTCTGAGCTTTGTTTTTTGTTGTTGCTCCAGTTCTTGAAGCTGCAGGGTTAGGTCATTTATTTGAAATGTGTCTATCTTTTTTAGGTAGGCCTGTGTTGCTATGAACTTCCCTCTCAGGACTGCCTTTGCTGTGTCCCAAAGTTTTGAACTGCTGTGTGTTCATTTTCATTTGTTTCCAGGAACTTTTTGATTTCTTCCTTGATCTCATTATTAACCCTTTCATTGTTTAATAGCATGCCATTCAGTCTTCTTAAGTTTGAATATTTTTGAGATTTTTCCTTGAGGTTGGTTTCTAGTTTCAAGCCCTTGTGATCCAAGAAAATGCTTCTTATAATTTCAATTTTCTTGAATTTGTTAAAGCTTGTTTTGTGTCCTATCATATGGTCTATATTTGAAATTGAAAAGAATGTGTATTTTGCTTCTTTGGAATGAAAGGCTCTATATATGTCAGTTAAGTCCATTTGGTCTAATGCATTGTTCAGTTCCACAATATCCTTGTTGATGTTTTGTTTGGAAGATCTATCCATTATTGATGGTTGGGTGTTAAAATCCCCTACTATCAGTGTGTTGCTGTCTATATCTTTCTTGAATTCCTGCAAGATTTTCTTTATATATTTGGGTGCACCTATGTTGGGTGCATATATGTTTACAATGTTTATGTGTGTTTGATGGATTCTTCTGTTGAGTATTATAAAGTGTCCTTCTCGGTCTCTTTTTGTGACCTTTGTTTTGAAATCTATTTTGTCTGATACAAGTATTGATACCCCTGGGTTTGTTTTCTTTTTCTGCCCATTTGCTTGGATTTTTTTTTTCATCCCTTTACTTTCAGTCTGTGTAGGTCCTTTATTCTGAGGTGTGTCTCTTGTAGGTAACATATGTGCAGGTCACGTTTTCTTATCCATTCAGCTTCCCTTTTCTTTTGGTTGGAGCATTTAATCCATTTACATTTAGTTATTACTGATAGGTACATATTCACTTTTTCCCTTTGTACTGGTGTTCCTCTCTCACTCTTGTTCTTCATCTTCTTAAAGCAGTTTCTTTAGCATATCTTGCAATACTGGTTTGGTGGAGGTGTATTCTTTTTGCCTTCTTTTGTCTAGGAAACCCCTTATTTCACCTTCCATTTTAATTGAGAGCCTTGCTGGATAGAGCAGTCTTGGTTGCAGGACTTTGCTTTTCATTACTTGGAATATTTCTTGCCACTCCCTTCTGACTGGTAGTGTTTTTGTTGCGAAGTCAGCTGCTAGCCATACCAGGGCTGCCATATATGCTACTACCTCTTTCTCCCTTGCTTCCTTTAGGATTCTGTTTGTCTTTGATATTGCCACTTTAATTATGATGTGTCTTGGAATGGGCCTCACTGGGTTCCTTTTGAATGGGACCCATGGGACCGTCTGTGCTTCCTGGATTTGTGTGACTTTTTCTCTGCTCAAATTATGGAAGTTCTCCATCATTACTTTCTCAAACAGGTTCTCTATCCCTTTGACATCCTCTTCTTCTGGTATCCTTATTATATGGATATTATTACATTTCAGGTTGTCCTGCATTTCCCGCAATGCCTTTTCATTCTTTTTGAGTCTTTTTTCATTTTCTTGTTCTTTCTGGGAGCTTTTTTCTACCTTGTCCTCCAGCTTGCTGGTTCGATCCTCTGCTCCATCTAGCCTGCTTTGGATTCCTTCTACTGTGTTCTTCAATTCAGAAATTGTATTCTTCATTTATTCTTGCCTCTTATTGATAGTTTCTATGTCCTTTTTCATTCTGATATAGTTTGCAGTAAGTTCCTCATGGTTTCCCTATAGTTTTTTGTAATTCTCTCTGAGCTCACTGAGCTCACTGAGCTTCCCTAGAATCGTTGTTTTGAACCCAATATCTGATAGTTTGTCTGTATTTCAATAGTTCTCTTTCTGGGGATTCCTTCTTTTCCTTCGATTGGGTTTTTGTTTTTTGTTTTTTGTCTTCTCATTATTTATGAGACTCTTCTTTTTTTGCTTCAGCTTCTTAAATTGATCTGGCTTGACTTCTTGACTTTGTGGAGTGACCTTCTATGATAGGAAACCACTGTTTTTTCTTTTTGATCTGCCTCTGATGATGTCAGATGTTGACCCTGTCTGACCTTAGACAGTGTATTCGAGACTTCCAGGAACCTACTTTCTGTGGTTGTCTCCTTTAGTCTAATCTAGTCACTGCACTCAGCAGTCAGGCTTAGGCACCACAGGGCACGGCAGAGCCCCTCCTAGGGGCAGGGCTATTGTGTCCTCTCATGCTGCTGCCACTCAGCTGAGTGGTCTGCCTGAGCAGGATGGCTGATGCCATATGGGGGATGAGTCAGCACTAGGACCTTGCCTGCTATTCCCTCAGTTCTCCCCAAAGCCTTCTTGCCCAGGCATTCTTCAGGCATCTCTAGCCCACTCTGCCCCCACCTTTGCCAGAGACCATGTTAAGGGGCTGCAAATAAAAATTTATGCATTGGTCCTTTAAACAGCTCTTGGTGTCTCCAGTCATCCATCTCTGGCAAAGAGCAACCCTGCCACTTTTCATATCTGGTTTTTTTGGGCTCTCATGCTGTAAGATGGAGATCCCCACTTATGGTTTAGACCCCACTCTTCACTGGGGGATCCAACTGGCCATTTAAATGTGCCTTTGGTGCTGCTGCCTGTGGACACCCCGCCCACCTTCTTGAATCTCTACCACACTCCTCACCAGTCAGGTTCTGCCAAAACTGATTCCTCTTTCTGTTCAAGGTTATAAGGTTCCTCTCTTGCTATTGTTCAGCTGTTTTTTCCAGGGGTTTTCTTCACAATTTAGTTGTAATTCCAGATTGGTCCTGGGAAGAGATCAGTGTGATTCCATTCACTTCTCTGCCATCTTGTCCTCTATCTCCCTATTTACTGATGTTCTCAATACTTGTCAAATTGTCTAGGATTTATTTATGCCTTTTTTCTCTCATTAAGTCTCAAAACTTTATCCAAAATTTAACAAAGCACAGTGAGAGGTACCAAAGGAATAGATGAGTGGAACACACTGACCTTAAAATTAAGATCTTTAAAACATTAAATCATGGGACACCTATGCCATGTAAACATGTCCCTGCCCAAGGCTCTTCTGTAGTCCAGACCATCGTTGTATCTTATGTCCCTCGAATACTGTAAGAGACCTCTACTTACCCATCACATTCAAGTGCAGATTCAAGGTCCCATGTAATCTTTTCCCTTGCCTTAGCCATGGCTGCTTCTCTGAAAGCTGTTTTTCAGGGTTTTCACTGGAGACCCTGTGCTTCTTGTACATTGGATTAGTCTCATACTATTTAATTTGTAGACTTTAGGATATTTCCCCCTAATATTTGTTAATTTAAAATTAAAATGCTGCATTAACTATGTGTGGTGCCTGCTAGATACTGGAAATATCAGGGGAAATACTGTAAAGTATATCATGGTCTAATCAATTTGAACTACATCTTAAACTAATACAAAATAATATTGACTGTGAACAGTAATTGAAAAAATTTAATTAAAAATAAATGAAATAAAAAATGAATAAATAAAATAATTTCCAAACCATACATTTTTGTAAACTCTATGCTTTTTTGTAAGTCTTCTCTTCTAGTACAACATATAGTTACCAACAAAAATTTAAAACAATAATTAAGAAATTAATTGATAATATTATTTTGAATTAAATATCACATTTATTATTCCTGTATTTAGATTTCACCGTCAGTTTTTTCCTTGGCTCACAAATGCATACTTAGATGAAAAAACCATACATTAAAATAAGTCACTGATTTTCAGTCTATAACACACTACATGAAGTAAATTTAATTTGATTTACACTTTCAGGGGTTTATACAAGTGAGTATGGTGGTCGAGAAATGCAAGATATGGGAGGAGAAGAAAGAACAACAGGATTTGAACTAACCGATGCAGTTAAAACATCAGGAGCACCTGAGACATGTCAAGAATACTCTGGAACATTCAGAAGAAATTCTATGAGGGAATGTAGAGAAGGAGGTCTGAATATGGACTTCATGGAAAGTTACTTCTGTCAGGTAAGGGCTCTAGCCCCCATGCCTTCCTGTCTATCCTGCACTGCTGTGCTCTAGGTTCCCACTATTTCCCAACAGGGTTTGGCAGGTATCTCCTAGCTGGGCTTCCAGCCTCACATCTTTATGCCTGGAGGTCATTAGTGCTGCTAAATAATACAGCTACAACTCTGACTTAGACCTGTTACTCCTACACTTAAAAACAGCCAATGATCCCCAGCTGTATTTTCTCTATGGCATCAAACCCAACAAGGCATATAAGCTTATTTGCAAATTGACCCCTGCCCTCACATCTCCAATTACTCCTTACTACTAATCCCACTTGCCAAGTGCCATAGACTTTGTCACACAAGTCTATTGCTCTCCATGCTTTTGCTTATGCTGTGCATATACTGGAAAGCTTTTATCTGGTCATCATTCTCATAAACCCCTACCAATCTTCAAAACACCATTCAAATAGGACTATCTCTGAAGTTTTATTCTTGACCATTTCATTGAAAATAGGATTGGTGTTTCCTTATCTGTATTTCTGCAGTACACATTCTTCTCAATTCACAATGGGGTCATGACAAGTTGACCCCTTTAGTCCATGATAAGTTGAAAAGATGTAAATTGAAAATGCATTTAATACACCTAACCTGCCAAATACCCTAGCTTAGCCTAGCCCATATTCACTGAATGCACATCACTTTTAAACCATTATACATTAAAAAATTGTTAAGTTGAACCATCATATACCAGGGATCATCTATACTTTACTTATACATTTTATAGACCATACCATTGATAAAATCTGTTGGTTTATGTTACCACACTTTTTGGTGACTCAGATATGTGTTCTCCATATTATGTTGCCAGTACCTAGTTCAGTTCAAGGCACATAATAAACATTTCATAAGAGTGAGTTCAAGAGCTGTAGTACAATTCCAGAACATTCTAAGAACCAGTAAGAATTAATTTTGCCATCCACAGGTAGAGACAGAATTGCCCGTGGTTAATGCCATGTGATACCTAAGCTTTAAGGAATTTACTGTCCTTGGTATACTTAGATTTGTCTACATCCTGGCAAAATGCCTTCCTGAACTCTCCTGAGGGTTTAGATGGTAGGTGATATTTTGAAATGAGTCTAGTATAAGCCTTTCAAATCCCAGCAGATAATAACAAGAGGTCTGTTGCTGAAATCCATAGGAATGTTTCCTATCCAGAGCCAAACAAATTAATATATATTCATGAAAAGTACATTTCTGCCTCCCAGCTTTTGCACTTACAGCTCCTTCTGCCCAGAATATTCTGTCTGCTGTACTCACCACCACTTGATTCAAATCTCTCATCAAATATTACTTTTGGAAATGCCATCCTTGACCATTCTACCCGAAAGAGAACCTCCATCACTTCCTATCCCTGTACCAGCTCCTGACAAATAAGTTTATGTGTTGTCTGTCTCATACTACTAAATGTAAGCCCTACTAGAAAAAGACATCATCTAGTTTTGTTCTTTATTTTTTTGCTAATTTCCTAAAGAGTGTATTCCAAATGGTAAGGGCTCAAAAAAATTTGTGAATGAATAGTTCAATTAGTTGGTTTTCTAATAAATGTATTTTTGATACTTAACCTGAAAGCTTGCAATCCATTATCATGAACACCAAAGATAAACTAAAGTACACGTTGGTGGGCTTTCACTTTGAATTGAAGGAGATTCTAGTTTTAAAAATTATCATTGGTCACCTTCAATTCTGAATCCAAAAGTTGCATAGACCCAGAGTTAAATTTTTCTGTTGATTTGCTGAAAGAGCCACATTGAAATAACTTTCACAGATTTACCATAATCATTCAATGAAGGAAGGAAAGCAAAATCCTGAATAAATTTAAATAAGCTAATTTATATTAATGAACCAAAAAATTACACAATTACACAATTGGGTGTACTTCAGATTCAGTATTTTTAAGCTGGTCACAAAATATTTCATGGAATTTCTTTGTGTGCTTATGTGTTCAAAGCACACTGCAACAAAGCCTATCTATATAAATTTTAAAATTCAATATGTATTATTGAAATTACAGTTAAAATAATTTCTAAGAAAATTTTTTCATGCTGTTATTTGATTTTATAGAGCATCTCTAGTAGATGTTAGAAATTTGATTTTTATATACTTCTTTGGTAATGCCCTATACAAAATTTAAGACAAAGCCTTCCATTATTGTTAAATATATACTCATGATTTCATTTCCTCTTTCCTCTACCAATTTAGAAAGCATACACTTACGCAGATGAAGAAGGACGGCCATCCAATGACTGCTTGCTCATATATGATATTGAAGGCGTAGGTTCTTCCGTTGGCTCTGTGGGTTGTTGTAGCTTCATTGGAGAAGACTTTGATGACAGCTTCTTGGATACACTGGGGCCTAAATTTAAGAAGTTGGCAGATATCAGCCTGGGGAAAAGTGTTGAACCATATCCAGACCTTGATCCCTCATGGCCACCTGAGAGCACTGACCCGATTTACCCAAGGGGGGAAACAGAGCCCCTTGCTAGTGGACCCCCGCCCATCTCCCCACGTTACGGCACTACCACAGTCATTTCTGAGAGCACCTACCCCTCGGGACCTGGTGTACAGCATCCTATGCCTATTCCTGATCCTCTGGGCTATGGTAATGTCACTGTGACCGAGTCTTATGCCACCTCTGGCACTCTGAAGCCCTCTGTCCACTTTCATGATAATCGACATGCCTCAGACGTGGTGGTGACAGAGAGGGTGGTCGGCCCAATCTCTGGTGCCAATTTGCATGGAATGTTAGAGATGCCTGACTTGAGAGATGGGTCCAACGTTATAGTGACAGAAAGAGTAATTGCACCAAGTTCAGGTCTCCCCACCACTTTGACCATCCCTGATCCTAGAGAGTCTTCAAATGTGGTAGTGACAGAGAGAGTAATCCGACCCACTTCTGGCATGATGGGCAGTTTGGGTATGCACCCCGACCTGTCGAACGCCCACAATGTGATTGTGACCGAGAGGGTTGTCTCTGGCCCTGGCGTAACTGGAATTAGTGGCCCAGCTGGGATCATTGGAGGCAGTGGCACAGTCGGCAGTGGCTTCGTTGGCAGTGAAGCTGGAATCAGTGCCGGTGGTGCCGGGCTGAGCAGTCTGGGAGGAGGCGGGGGCCTGAGTAGCAGCATGTTGGGCACAGCCACCAGTGGCCACATGAGGAGCTCCTCTGACCATCACTTTAGCCAGACCCTTGGATCTGCCTCTCCTACTACAGCCCGAAGTCGAATCACAAAGTACAGTACAGTACAGTATACTAAGTAGCCAGGATCCCAGCACAGTTTTCCTCAGTAATTGTGATTTAGGTTCAGTTCCCACCACCAAAAGCTAACAATGTCATTTATGATGCACAACTAGGTGCTAAGGTAATTGTGGAGCAAGAAGAAACCACAATGAGAAAAATAGATGGAAACAGTGCTGTTGAGCAAGAGCCCTCCTTGGCATTTGTAAACTTTGTTTTCTAATAATACTACTAGAGGTTTTCTTCATTTTTGTGTGGTCTGTAGTACATCTCTAGCGTGTGGAAGAAATAAAACTTGGCGATATAAAACAAGGTCCTTAACACGACAATTCACATAATTCTTTTGCTCTTTTTTAATTTGCCATGTAGCTCAGGCAACATTCAAAAAGAAATAAGCACACCATATGTATTCCTGTATGTGGCACAAATTTGAAATTTGTGCCATATGCCCTATCAGTTTCACAGACAATATAAGTAATAATCCAACCACATATTCAACCCCCAGTTACCTATTAGAGAAAAAGAATCTGGTTACAAAGCAAAGTTCACCAGCCACGAAGCACTCCTTTCTTAGTAACTACACTAAGTAAAATAAAAATTAAAATAGGAAATGTTTTCTGAGAGGGATATTGCATAGGAGAGTGACAATAGGATTAAGATTCTTTTGGGTAAACTGGCAATGTCTGAGCCTGGGTCCTGAGATTAGGCTGCAGCTAAAATTTTTATGGAGTCTAGGATTGTCTGTTTCTAGTGTAGATGCAATATTAATTGATTCTGCCTACTGGGGAGATTGCAGGTTCTCACACTCATTTCTCCCTTTACCGCTAAAGCTCTGACTTAGTAACGGGAAAACCTGCCAAGTCCACTTGTCACAGTGAAGCAAGTAACAACTGACATGTTTGTCCTCACCAGTGGTAGATGACTTTCCAAGGAAGCAGATGGGAACTGCATTGTATTTTCCTATTGTTTATATTGATATTCAGCTTCTTTATTTTTACATCTCCTAAGTTAAAATGATTTACTTAAGCTGTGCTGCGTGGTTAATTTGGGGGCATTTTTTACACAGGATCTTAAAAAGTATTTTTAGAACATGTAAAATGTTTAATGGGGTAACTTGGACTTTTCCCCTAAAGTAACACTGTACTATTAATTTGAATTGCATTTAGTACATTTTTAAACAACCCCCAATGCTATTTTGAAGGGTCAACTAGGAACTTCTAACAGAGTTGATGATATTGTGTCAACACAAATGAAATTAGAGTAGAGAATGCTGTCTTCCTTATTCTGTCCCACTCCCAACTGAATTTTCTCACTAGCATAAATTTTACATCCCCGATTGATTTGTCAATGCACTTTTGGCTTACACATGCTCAAATTTACAGATTCCAAATTATATCTTTTGATATATTTTTCCACCTTCAAAATTTAGTGGTAGAGTATTTATAATGTATCATTTATGTCTGTTTGCTACATAGTTTCATCTGGTTAAATGTCTGTAAATAGAATCAAAGCATTCTTAGCCAGAGGTAAATTTACCATTGCATGGTAGGGGAATATTGTTTTCTTTTATAAACTCGGTGTTTAATATGAGTTTCACTAAAGTAAAACTGGATATGACAAAATCTTTTAAGGATTATTTGCCCCAATTACTCAAACTTCCCAGAGTTCTACAAGTCCAACGCTTATCAAAGGGGACTGAGGAATGAATTATTTTACCTACAGCCATTTTGCTCCATTGTTATAGCAGATGATGTCAACATTTTCAAAGCCACAATATACATCTTATTTTAACTCTGTAACCTATGTAAATTGTAATGTTCTATTGCATGCCAAAATGCAGATGTATAAATAAAATCATTCACAGAGAGTCTCTTGCTGCTTTCTCCAATTTGGGGCTTTCGTTAGCAATAGGTAATTTTTCCAGAAATAAAATTAAAGGGTATTTATTGAAATATACTTGAGTCTACAGTCATACCACCCCAAACACGCATGATCTCATCTGAAATATATTTGAGTATGCCTAGCTTCTGGGGTTTGATGAAATAACATCATTATTATTTAATTAATTAAAGTGTCTAATCTCTTAAGAGGTAGTCTATGGGGGCAGAATTTAATGCATTATCAATACTTATCTTATTATTTAATATCAACCAAAATACCATCTTGAGCTAATTTTTACACTGAATTCCAGATATACAACTGGAATTCCTGAATTCTGAATTCTGTTGCCTGATCCAGCTGAATTAACACTGGAAAAACTTACAAAAATTAAAAGTATGTATTACGGTTGTGTAAAAGCCTTATCGGAACATGTTTTATTTTCATGTATAACATTTATAGCCTCATAATTTCAATGTAATTTTCTGACAGAATTTTAATTATATAATTTCAAACATTACGTATTCACTCTCACTGGGTATTTTTAATTGTATACAAAATTCATTTCTGAATTTATATCAACATTTGAGTGTCAGCCAGGCTATGACATATATGACACACTTGGACTTTAGTAGGAGTTTAAAGGCGTTATAATCATTGGCTAAAATGGCCATGGCTATTTGGGAAAGACATTAGAAGCCCAAAACAAACTTTTAAAAGGATTGCCACATTTTCTCATGCCTATTGAATAAATTCCAACCTTTTTTGAGATTTTTAGTATTGTTAAGGCCTACTTCATATTGCCCTGGAATATACCAGTCCACATAGATTACTAGTAGCCATTTAATACAATCTGTCTTCCAGGTCTAGATTTTTCAGTTTATGTTGGGACAAAAGTATGAATGAATCAACCTGTTAGTTGTCAAATAATTTTAAAACAGTAATCTATTTTTTGCCCACAGCCCATCAGTTTAGTTATATTAGAACCACTAAACACATTATCACCCACAGACAGGCTTCATTTATTCTTTTCAGCTACCTGAAGATCTGCAAACTCACCATGATTTCTCCTGCCCCTCATTGAATTTCCATAAACCCTTGCTACTAAACAGATATCATTATCTCCATTTTTCAAATGAGAAAACTGAAACTTATGACCAGTGATTGATTCAGCCAAGGTCACACAGTAGAAAATCCAGAATTTAAACTGTTCCTCTGACTCGCAGGTTGGCTTCTTTCCCTCTATGCCAGGCAACGTCTCCAAATTCATAGCAATACTCAGTTTGTTCACCATTGCTAAAAATGTCAGAAACTAACAATAAAAGCTTAAATAAGTAATACAATACTCCCAGAATCACTGTGTCCTCACTCATTTTTTAATAGCTGTGATATAGTCACCAAGACGGTTTAGGAATAAAATCTTATTAATTAAGCTTCTATGTCAGAGACTTTCAAACTTTATTAAAACCAATCCACTTTGGGCACTTACTAATAACATAATTTTTGGGAACACACACTCTAAAAATGTGGCTTTAGTAAGTGTAAATAAGGCCTAAAAACTGACATTTTAAGAACACTGTGAAAAAAATTTCCATTATGTTCTATTATGCAAAACATTGATTACCATCAAATTTTTTAGCACTGAATGTAAGTATTTTTGACTAAAATAAAAACTTTTATTAAGTTCCTGTTGTTACTCCTTGCTGAGATTAGTCTGAAATAGAAGTTGATGATATAATATTGGCACAAGATTCCTAATAGAATTGGGCATTTCTCTTATACTTCTCAATCAATATATTTGAATGTAAGCATATTTCACTGGGTGTTCTTCTCACTGACTTATGATGGACAGGCTTGACTGCTTGCACATGCAGTTCTATAAGTTAGTCATCAGCTTTTCATAGTACCTAGTTGATTATATCATGGAATTTTGATGATGTTTGCAGTTCCTTGTGCTGGAAAACCCTCCCAAGACCAGAAACATGTTTTAAAAATCTGTTGCCAGGTTTCTTGTTGTAACTTTGTCATAATTGCCAAAAGATATATACCACTCACTGATGGCAACCACAAATTTGTCCTTGAAATCGTCAATAATAAAAAAACGGAAAAATCACTATTTGAGATCCAGTGATGAGGAACTGAATGCAATACTAATTATTTTTCAAAAGCTGGGATGAAAGAGTTTCTTTTATATATATATTTATTATATTTATATTAATTTATATTTATAAATAAATATATTTGTTATATATATATAATAAATATATAGATCATGCTATTACAGTTGTCCCTTTTTTCTCCCCTTTATTCCCCTCCACCCTGCATCCCCACCACCATTACCACTCCCCGCTTCGTTCACAGCCATGGGTCATATATATGAGTTTTTTGGCTTCTCCATATTCTGCACTATTCTTAACCTCCCCCTGTCTATTTTGTAGCTACTACTTATGCTTTTTATTCCCTGTACCTCTTCTCCCATTCTCCCCCTTCCTCTCTCCTCTGATCTCTATTTCTGTGATTCAATTCCTGTTATAGTTGTTTGCTGAGTTTGTTTTTGTTTTTAGGTTCAGTTGTTGATAGTTGTGAGTTTGTTGTCATTTTACTGTTCATAGTTTTGACCTTCTTTTTCTTAGATAAGTCCCTTTAGCATTTCATATAATAAGGCCTTGGTGATGATGAACTCCTTTAACTTGATCTTATCTGGGAAGCACTTTATCTGCCCTTTCGTTCTAAATGACAGCTTAGCTGGATAGAGTAATAATCTTGGATGTAGGTCCTTGCCTTTCAGGATCTTGAAAACTTCTTTCCAGCCTCTTCTTGCCTGTAAGATTTCTTTTGAGAGATCAGCTGAGAGTCTTATGAGAATTCCTTTGTAGGTAACTGTCTCCTTTTCTCTTGCTGCTTTTAAGATTCTCTCCTTATCTTTAATCTTGTGTAACTTAATTTGATGTGCCTTGGTGTGTGCTTCCCTGGGTCCAACTTCTTTGGGACTTTTTGAGCTTCCTGGATCTCCTGGAACTCTCTTTCCTTCACCAGATTGGGGAAGTTCTCCTTCATTATTTTTTCAAATAAGTTTTCAATTTCTTGTTATTCCTCTTCTCCTTCTGACACCCCTATGATTTGGATGTTGGAATATTTAAAGTTGTCCTGG